ACGTGCATTTCCATCACACACGCACACGCGCTCAAGCCACACAGTCACAGCTGCTGTCGGAGCAGTTGACACATGCACCAGCAGCCCGACCGTTCCCATTGTCACCAGCGCCCCAGCATCAGCCTTGAAGCGCATGGCAGTCGTTGTTGAAGGGTTACCAGGCAGGCACGATGAACAATGCTTTGCACTGTGTCAACATTAGTCAAAGACTAACGTCATGTCACATTCGTGCCCTCCTTCCATCTCTCTGTCTTGTCCGCTGCCTATTGTGTGGCATGAATGCGTGATGCTTGTGCCTGACTGATTGTGCGAGTGCCTGACCTGTGCGTGTAGGGGTTGGGGTTTGTGCCATGGGCGTCAGTGTACTCCAGCCTCTTTGTGGCCGTTTAGCGCACTGGTGTTACAAACCACCCTCCACTACATGTCACACCACCTATTACACGTTAGCTGGGTGAACAAGGGAAATTACACAGTGATTTTTGTGGTGCATGGAGTGGTGACGCGGCTGCAAAATGAACGTAATGTAACAGGGTTTAATGCGGTTTTTTTGATGTGTTGGCGAACTCTTATGGCAATGAGGGAATTGCCTTCACGTTGGCATGGCACGGTAGCTCGACGGTAACTCAGGCACAGAGAAAATTCGACGGCTGCCACGACCTCAAAGCAGGGGCGGATGTCAACGCGACGCCAAGTCGCGCGTGCGTGCATGTATGAACAATACAGAACAAGTGGTCAGACGGCGCAAGCCCTTCATGTGAAACGCATGAAGACGAAGATGAATAACCAAGTGGGACACCCCAACACGCGATGATCAGAGTCGAAAGTTTTCGCCATTATTGTCATCATGCGCATCGTGACTACTGAGCATGGGCTCAGTGATGACGGCTGCATCTTCGCTCTGGGGATTGATGCGATGGTGGACGTGGTACCACCCAAGCCGCGCCTCTGGTTTGTATATGTGCTGCATGGAGCCGTAGTGCAGGTATGGCCCAACGGCCAGGTAGGCAGAAAAGACGATGTATGCCAGGAGAACGGCGCCAATGCCGAGGAAGGCATACCACGCGCTCGCGGGGACAACAGTCACGATGGTGTCTGCGATGAGGTAGTAGTTGACACCAATGATGATGAGGGCGAGCAGCCAGGAGAGCGCCGTCAGCCAGCGGGGCGACGTGAACGACTTCATGATGAAGCGCGAACCGGTAAAGTGCAGCAGTGGGAAGAGCGCAAACGGCAGCTGCATGCTCTGAAGCACGTTGATCCACTCGTCCAGGCCATTGAGGTTCTCGTCGGCCAGCACAGCGAAGAGCAGCGTTGGCACCATCGCCACCGTCCGCGTCAGGAGAACGCGGCGCCACGGCGACAGGTGCAGATCAAGGAACCCGCTCATGACAAACTGGCCCGAGTAGCAGCCCGTCATCGTCGACGACTGCCCAGCTGAACAACAAGACAAAGGCGCGATGTGTGGGGCAATGGGACGTGTGAGAAAGCCAGATGTTGGGGGAATGAATGGGATGTGCCAAGCAAGAAATGCACGTGCGTGGCGAAGGAACAGACATTTGTTGCAAAGGAGTGCATGAACAAAGAAATGCGGGGGGGGGGGGTGTTACACGCACAAATGCACAATGACACACCCCGATCTGCTGTTACCATCATTCCCACCAGCACTACCACAACAGTTGCAGATGCTGTTTGTGATCTCACCTGCGAGCAGCCCAACGGCCCAGATGTACAGCACGGCGTCCCCATATCGCGCACCCAACAGATCGCCGCTGCACACGCAAAAAGAGGAAGGAGAAAGCGTGGCGTGATGTGGCAACAGTGGCAAGGGAGAGAAAGCGTGAATCACACGTGTGTGTGTGTGTGTGCATGAACTGTTGTGAGAGATAAAGGCAGGTGCAATGGTGTGCTGTTGTGCGCTCACGCTGTGTTGAGGTTGATCTCTGCGCCTCCTGACGTTGCGTCGTCGTCATTGCCCGTGTCGAGGGTGGCAAACACGCCAACAACAAACAGGTTGACGATGAAGGACACAAACAGCGCGGCTGCGCTTTCGATCGCGTAGTACATGTTCGCTTCCCGGACTTGAAACTGTCACAAGAGTTAAATCATTGGTGTGAAGAGCAGTGAGTTGGTGAACAACAGCAACCAAGAGGGAAAGGTGAAAGCAACGCACTGCCTGGGAACAGAAGGGGAGGGAAGGAGTACGGTTGATCATATTGACAAAACACACACACACACACCACACAACACACACCACACAACACAACACAACACACAACAAACACACACCACACAACACAACACAACACACACCACACAACACACACACACCACAACACAACACACACCTTGGAGCTGCGGTTGATTGGGCGATGCAGAACAAGGCCAGAGTGAAGAAAGAGGTTGTGTGGCATGATGACAGCGCCAATCAGACCAACGCATTGCACGGCCGTCTTGTGCGAAAGCCGCGGTACCACAATCGACACCAGCACTGATGAAAAGATGGGTGTGAGACAAGCAAGGAGAGGCTGATGAGAGCAAACCAAGCGGCTTGGCCGCCAAGCACAAGCCCAATGATGTACTTCAAAAATGCACACACGCAAGGACACATACATGGAAGCCTGCGCACAAGCGTTCACAAACATGGACATGTGACTGACGTTCGCCGGTGTTGGGAGAACTCTTGCCGTAGATGTAGCCAAAAGTGCACACCATGACGATGATGAGGGTGGCAAACACAAACTCAAGCTTGCGAAAGCCATACTGCTCCAGAAAGAGAAATGTGAACGTGTCCACCGCCGTAATGAGGGAGCCACCCCACAGCGGAATCTGGTGAAGGTGAAGGTGGTGGGGGGGGGTGGTCATGTCACGTGAATGATGCACGTCTGTGACAAAGTCGCAATACACATACACACATACGCACAGACAGACAGACAGACAGACAGACAGACAGACAAACAGACAGACAGACAGACAAACAGACAGACAGACAGACAGACAGACAGACAACAGACAGACAGACAGACAGACAGACAGACAGACAGACAGACAGACAGACAGACAGACAGACAGACAGACAGACAGACAGACAGACAGACAGACAGACAGACAGACAGACAGACACACACATGATGCAAAACCGGTCGCTCGCTTCAACCAGCAAGCTCACTTTGCCTCTCGAGAGGATACGAATGGCGATAGCCGACCCAATGACCTGTCCAGGAATCCAGCATGCTGCAGATGTGAGCAAGAGTGTGCTCCAGCAGGGAAGGCATGGACCAGAGCAGTAATGCAATGCAAGCACACAGGCAAACAGCAAAGCACGTGTGATGATTAGAATATATAAACCATGACAGCACAACCCAAGCACACAGCGTAGGCGTCGTGACACCCAGCAAGGGCTGTTCTTGCTGTGAAACGCTGTCCTCACCTCCTGTACATCTGCGCCGATGATAGCCAGCTCCATCATGAGCCATAGCGCATATCGAACTGGCCGCGAGTACTGCTTTCTGTTTGCATCATTGTCGCCGCAAACGAAGGGCGTCATGAAGAGTACACGTTGAGTGGTTGTGATGATGGTTGTTTGCTGTGCAAGGCAAGGCAGTGATAAGGTGATGGCTGCGGTGTGATGTACAGACCTGCACATTTGAGCCAAATGCGACCCTGTGACGACACCGAGCCGCGACGTCAAGGTTTGGAAGATGTATCCAAACACCTAACCAAGCACGTTGGCGAGGGAAGGGATGGAGACAGGCAGACAGGCGAGGGCAGTGGGTGTGAGGCCAGCTCCATCAAGAGACTCAACAAACGCAGCCACTGCAAACTCGGAAGCCCGAGTGTCTGCACCATCCACGGGGTGCATCATGCATTGCTCGAGAACAGTGTTGTTCAGTTGTTCCCGATGATCCATACCGTTGCCCAGAAGAGCGCCCATAACAGCTGGTAGCCACCAACGGCGCCAGCCTGCAGGTCCGATTCGATGTTTCCTGCGAACCCCATGCAGGCGAGACGTGCAGTTGAGGTGAAGGTGGGAAGGGACATGGTGTTGACCATCAACGCAATGGTTTTGACAGTGCGATTGCACACACATGTGCAAACGACGCAGACGTATGCAGGCATGCACACACCGACAGACAGACGCACGCACACGCACACGCACACGCACACGCACACGCACACGCACACACGCACACGCACACGCACACGCACACTCATGCACACGCACATCGTCATACACACAAGCACAAGCACACGCACACGCACAAACAGACACACGCACACGCAAACGCACACGCACATTGTCATACACACCTGGATCGAGGTAGGCGATGCTCATGAGCCAGCCAGGTCCTGTGAATGCCCAGAGACGCTTGAAAGAAAAGGGTACACGTGCTGCATCGGCGGCAGCATCGCCCAGGCCCGCATCACGTGGCCCAGTATCATTGCCGTCATCTCCATCATTGTCCATCATGCCTGCAACAGCATCGTTCTCCTCTTCTGCAATCAAGCTCACTGTGTCTGCATCGCCATCATCACCATCGTTGGGTGGTGGCGTGGCTGCGACGTCTCGGACAAACCCGGACAAAAGGCGCTCCTTGCCAGGGATGGCATAATCCTTTCGTCTTCGTCTGTGTTCCTTCTTCTGCCGTGCCGGTTGCATCTGTTGCATCTGCTGGCCAGCAGCGTGCCTGCCAGCTGCACCTCCCTCGCCCTCATCCTCGCTCGACCACTCCAGCCACCCATCGCCATGATTGTCATCCGCGTCCGTCATCCTTGCTTGTTGTTTGCACATGAATTGCGTTTTGCAAATTGCGTGAGGAGCGAAGACCCACTCCTCCGGACACCTCGTTTCCTCGCTATCACTTGCACAAGCTTTGTTCACGCGTCTGACATTGTCGTGTTCACTTGTACGCATGTTAAACGACTCATCAAAGGACGACAGTAGACATGCATGCTATGATTGAAGACACCACAACGTAAACACACACACACACACAAAACAAAGCAACAAACAACACAAGCGACAAATGAACTGCGATCACACACCACACCACGCAACAATGACAGCCACAGCTCGACGTGGGTCGCACGAGTTAATCATCGAGCTGGGTCAATAACGCAACGCCACGCTGGATCCAGTGGTCCTGTTGGGATGTCACAGGGAAGGAAGGGAAGGTAGCGAAGGTTGGGAAGGGAGGGAGGTGAGTCATCGAGGTGAAACAGGAAGAGCAGATCTTGGAGGTGGAAAACACAAAGGTACACACAGACACACATACACACAGACACACACCACATGTACACACGCACACGCACACACATTCACACACACACACACACATACACACACACACACGTCACTGCACGATTGCAACAACGCACCTGTGGCTTGTCTGAAGGGATCTTGATGGCGACAACATAGTTGGAAGAATGACCAGTTGTGGACAGCACACCACGACGATCACTCGTTTTGTACACGGGGCAGTTGTAGTGCGGCGGCGGCTCAATCTCAGAGCGCTTCGCAGGCTTGAGCTGGATCACAGGCATGCGGTTGGCCAGGACCTTGGGCTCCTGCTCACCAAGCACACCGCGCTCGGCGTCCCAGCGCGCGCCATCCAGGAACAGTCCGTTGACGTATGCGCCGTCCTCCGGCGGCTCATCGTACTCGCGGTCCTCCTTCACCTCAAAGTCAAACGCAAGCAGGTCAATGGGGATGGTGTACTTGCGCGCGTAGTTCTGCTGCACGCCCGTGAGGAACGCCTGCGTGAAGTAGAAGCCCGAGATCCAGAACACGGGCGGCTGGCCGTTCTCGTACCACCGCTGCAGGAAGCTGAGGCGGGCAAGGAGGTCGTTGACGTACCCACCAAGTGGCTTGAGCGACGGGTAGCTCTTCTTCATCCACAGCTCGGGAATCTTGCCATTGAGCATCGAGTGCGCCACGGCCTCCAGCTCCGCGTTCATCACCACCAGGCCCTTGACGGCCTTCTGGATGTTGATGAGGCTGTCCCGCACCACCGCCGTCAGCCGGTTGAAGCGGCCCATCTCCTGCACCAGCACCGTGTTCATGCTCTCCTCGTACGCCGTCGGGTACTTGCGCAGCGCAGCCGCCGTGTCAAACGCGGGCGGCAGCTTGGACAAAATGTCCGTGGCAATCTCCGTCATGCGCTCGTCCTCGGACTTGCCCTCCTGGCCGCCGCCACCACCGCCGCCAGAGGCCTGAGTCAGCAGAATCGAGTCGAGCAGCTCGTGCGTGGCCTTTTGGTCCTTGGTGATGTCGGCGTTGCTGTGCATGCCAAACACCTCCGGGTCCGGGATGAGCGGCAGCGCCCGCGCAAACTCGAGATAGTCCTCGTACTCGCCGTGCGGCGGGGCCACGTAGTTGCCAGAGGGCGAGAAGGCATACTTCTCCGTGTCCACCATCTCCTGATTAAGGATGTTGTTGAGGATGCTCACGAGCGTCCGGCGATCCCAGTCGTCCGTCACGCGACCACCGTAGTTGCACTGCCCAATCAAGTATCGAATCGCCTCAAAGTCCACGCTCTCATACTGGTTCAGGAACTGTCACCAAGAACAGTACAATTGTGTGCATGCGCGCGCGCGCGCGCGTGTGTGTGTGTGTGTGTGTGTGTGTGTGTGTGTGTGTGTGTGTGTGTGGGTGGGTGGGTGGGCGGGTAGGCGGGTGAACAACAGTGACGGTTCAGAATATGCACACAACCACATGCAGGAGCAAGCAAACAGGCTCAAAGCAAAATGCGCACTCATACTCTCACAAGTCAACTAAAAAAACACTCGCGTACCATTTGAATCTGCCGAATGCTGATCTGGAAATCCGTGTCGTTAAACTCGTAAGGGATGTTCCAGCCAAGAGCGCCAAAGCCGCGCCGCTCCTGCACCAGCGCATGGAAGAAGCACAGCCCAAACAACAGCTTGCGGAACGCCTGTATGTATGTGTGCGTGTGTGCGTGTGTTGGTGACATGAGGTGCAATGCGTGGGTATGTAAGTGAAGAGAAGAGAAGAGAAGAAAAGAGAGCTACTGTTCAGTTTCAACAGTTCACAACAGAGCAAAGAAAATGCGATCAAAACTTTACCTCGACAATACAGCACCCACACACCCACACACCCACACCCGCACACCCACCCACACCCACACCCACACCCCCACCCACACCCACACACACACACACACACACACACCTTCTCCTGCTTGCAGTTGTTGAAAAAGTCCATGTCTGAAATGGGGTGGAGGAGGTACGAGCGGATGATGTTGTTGCGCAGGCCCTTTGGCGGCTCGTTGGTCATCTTCACGCCGTTCTGCAGCACGGCCACGGGGAAGTGTGGCGACGGGTAACTGGTCAGCCACAGCCGGAAGTTGGGGTGCGTGGTATCTGGGTTGAGGTCCTCGCACAGCCGCTCGAGCGTGGGCATCCAGCTCACCGCCAAGTGGCAGTTCTGCAGCACAACCCACGTGCCGTCCTTGATGGCCTTCTCCACCATCTTCATGGCAATGGGGCCCTGGCCCTGCCCGAGCGACAGGGTCTCCATAGTCGACCCGTACCCTTGGTCGTCCGCAAACTTGAGCAGCGCGCTCATCGGGTCACCGCCAGGCGACAGCACAAAGATGAGCGGAATGCAGCTGTGCGAGTCTGCAAACGCGCCCGCCAGGTCAAACGGCGGCGGCTCAATGAACTTGCGGCCCATGTGCTCCTCCACAAAGTTCTGCACCGCGGGCACCACCTTGTCCGGCCGCACCGCGCGCAGCACGCACAGCCGCTGGAAGGAGGTGAAGCGCTCCCCAAACGTGGGTGGCGGGTCGTTGTGCGGCTGCGACGAGTCGTACATCTTCTTCCACTCGGACGTGTTGGTCTCCACATCCTCGCGCAGGCCCACAAACGCAGGCAGGTCATTCAGGCGGCACAGCTCGTCCCAGGCCTTGGAGGGCAGCCACTCCTCGGCCGGGTTGGCGTGCGGGTTGTCCAGGCCGACGCCGCCCGTGAGGAAGAACATCCACTCGCCCGCGTCGATGTTGCCCTCCTTGCGCATGATGTTCACGCACAGCAGCATGGCAAACAGCAGCTTGTCCTTCTCAAACAGCGAGCGGCACACGTTCTTGTACAGCGAGTACGTGAAGTAGTCCCGCAGGTTCTCCAGGCGCTTGGCCAGGTCCTCCGAGGGCTTGCTCTGCTCAATGGCGTTGAGGAACAGGTTGGTGAACCACGGCAGCGAGTACTGGTACATCGGGTCGATGTTGGCCAGCTGCGCAATGGTGAAGAACAGCACGGACGAGTGGGCGGCAATGGGCTTGTACCCGGCGCGCGCCGTGTCAATCTTCACCTCCGTCTCCTCGGCAACCTGCTGCTTCTCGCTAATCTCGTTGGCCAGCACCTTGGACGAGGACAGCACGTTGATGGCGCTCTCGTCCTCCAAGATGTTGCCCTCCGACGACGACAGCACCTCCAGAATCTTGTCCTCAATCTCCTTCAGCTGGCGCTTGTTCTTGGCAGACTGCACAATGAGCGCGTTCTTCTCCTCCTCCAGCTCGGGCCGCTCCTCCGCCACAACAATGCCCAGCAGCTGGTCCTCCAGGCCCGCGGGCGTGATCATGAAGTTGAGCAGCGTCACCTTCACCGCCGTCTCGGGCAGGTAGTGCGGGTTGGGCAGCTTGGTCGTGATGTACAGCCGGAAGTCCTTGGAGTACTCGATGGTGGTGTCACCGAGGCGGATGCACATGGTGCCGGCCTGCTTGAACGTCTGCTTGAGCAGCACGGGCTCCAGGATGGAGTCGAGCTCCTCCCCAACGTTCTCCAGCAGGATGGGCGTGCCAAACTGGATGGCGTTCTCCAGCGAGCGCACAAAGTCCGAGTCCGACAGCTTCACCACCGTCAGCTTGTTCTCCTTCTCCATGTTCTTCACCCACTTGTTCGCCTGCCCCTGCGGGTCAATCATGAGCGGCCAGCGCCGCGAGTACTGCACGATGATGCCGTTGTCCACGGAGAAGCTGTCCGTGGGCAGGCCGGCAATGTTCCACTCGCGAATCTTCACGGGGTCACCCAGCGTGCGTGCCAGCGAGAACGTCTCTGAGCACGGGATGTGCAGCGCCTGGCACCGCTGCATCCATTCGTCGCACTGCTCCTGGCGCAGCTGCGACGGGAACGCGCCCAGGTACGCCACCAGGCCCGAGGACACCAGCACGTCGCCAGTCAGGTTGGTGTACGTCACGCCGAGCGCGTCGGCGGTGGCCATCCAGCGGTCCTTCTCGTCACCCAGGCTGGACATGAGCTTCTCCGCGCGCTTGAGCTTGGTGGCACACAGCTCCACCTGCGCCTCCAGGCTCTCCTTCTTGTCGTTGAGCTCCTTGAACTTGTCCTTGAGGTCCTGCAGCTTCTTCTGGATGGCGGCCAGGTTGTCCTGCTTCTCCTTGAGCGTGGCCATGGCCTGCGCCAGCTCGCCCTCGGCCTGCTTGAGCGCCTCCTTCTTGGGCGCCACCACCTTGGCCACGCGGTCGTACGCCTCCATGGCGCGCACCCACTTGCACAGGCCCTCCGCGGCAACCGAGGCCTTGGCCACCTTCTCCGGCACAAAGTTCTCGTCCGGGATGAAGCGGTCGCGAATCTCCTTCATCACCTTGGGCGAGATGTTGTCCTTGTCGTAGTCCTTGAGCGACTGCAGGAACTTCATGTCGCCGAGCAGGCGCAGCGAGGGCCCCCAGTAGTCGGTGATCTTCTTCCCGCTGCCGCTCGGGTCCGGCACGCGGTCGGGCTTCTCCCCCTTGAGGATGCACACGGCCTCCATGACCAGCCGCACAATGTCTGGCGGGCGCTTCATGGCCTTCACCTCGCCAATGTCGCTGGGCTTGAGCGTGTCCAGCGCAGCGAGGGCGCCGTTGAGGATGGGGATGGCCTCAGCCAGGTCGGCGTCGCACTCGTCCTTGATGGCCTTGGCCGCCTGCGCCTGCTCGTTGGCCACGGCCTCGTCCGCGGCCACAATCTTCTGCTGCTCAGCCACGTCCTTGGACGACGCCTCAATTTCCACCATGGCCGCGTCCGTCTCCTTCTGCGCCGCCTGCAGCTGCGGCTGCAGCGCCACCAGCTCCTCCTTCATGCCGTCGACCTGCGACGCCGCGGAGCGCAGCTTCTCCAGGCCCACCTCGTACCGCCGCTTCTGCTTGGACACGGCCTGCCGCCGGTTGTCCAGCATCACCTTGTACGTGTTGATGAGCTCGAGGTACGACGTGGGCGTGACGTAGTTGTGGCGGCGCAGCTGCGCCAGCATGCGCTCGGACAGCGCGCGCGTGCTCTCGTGGAACTCCTGGCACAGCTGCACGCAGTGGTGCCGCAGGTCCTCGCCCATCTCCACGTCCTCCAGGAAGCGCTGCGCCACAATCTGCAGGGCGTCCGCGGGCCAGGCCTGGAACCAGTTGATGGTGCAGCAGTTGACCAGCGAGGGGAACTGCCGCAGGTTGTTGCGGAAGGCGTCGCCAATGGGGCTCATGGCCAGCACAATGTGCAGGTAGTCGCGCACGCGCGAGATGAACAGGTTGTAGAGGGCCAGCGGCGTGCCGTCCGTCTTCATGTGCTTCGGGCGCGACTTGTCCACGGTGCGCATCTTCTCGATAATCTCCGTTTTCTCGTCCAGCGGGAAGATGTTGGGCACCTCGCCCGAGTTGAGCAGGTTGGAGATGTCCTCCAGGAAGGCCGCCTCCTTGATCTGCATGTCCGTGAAGAGGAACACCGTGTGCTCGCCCTTCTCGCCGGCCGTGCGCATGATGCGCTTGACGTCCTCGCGCCAGTCCTCCATGTTGTAGCTCTTGCTGATCTCAATCTGGATCACCTCAAAGTCGTTGATGTACGCGGCGAGGCGCGTGAGGGACTGCCGCCCGCTGCCGCCCACGCCGACCAGCAGGCCGTGCGACCGCGGCTGCCGCACGATGCGCGCGATGCGGGTGATGTGCTCAATGGCGAAGCGGAAGAGGACGAGGTCCATGCGCTTCTTGCTGATGTTGTTGTACTCGTCCAGGAAGCCCTCGCAGACGCCGCGCAGCGTCTCCACGTCCTGCACCATCATGTAGTCCTTGGCCTCCGCCTTGGGGTTCTCAAAGTCGCAGAACATGAGGGAGCGCAGGTCGTCGTCGGTGACCTCGCCGTCGCCGTCAAAGTCGAGGTGCGACATGAGCGTGTTGAAGGGCGTGCCCAGGTGCTCCTCGCACGTCTGCTTCACGTACCCAAACAGCCAGGCGCGGTCCTCGTCAAAGACCAGGCGGTCGTAGAAGACGCGGTACACCTCGTGCACCCACAGCCGCTGCATGTCCGTCACCTCCGGCAGCGACGCCGGGCCGGACATCATCACGCCCGCAATCACGCGCCCAAAGTCGCGCAGGTTGAAGAGGTAGTGGGACTTGGCCGGCGTGGGCAGGAGGCTCTTGATGGCCGCCTTGTACACCTCGGCCGTGGCGCGCACGATCTTGTGCGCCACGTCGGAGAAGCCCGCCTCAAACCCGCGCGCGTCAATGTGCCACTCCATGATGCGGCGGAAGATCTGCTGGTTGGTCTCGTCGTCAAACTCGTTGATGGTGATGCAGTGGAGGTGGCGCATGAACCGCTGCGTGACCGTGTTGCGGCCGCCGCCCGGCGGGCCCATGGCGCAGATGAGCTGGATGTCGACCAGGCCAATGTTGGAGCAGTCCTGCAGGTCGTACCAGTTCCAGTGGTCCAGCCACTGCCGCAGCAGCTCAATCGGCGGCTGCGCGCCGTACTCCTCCTTGGCCGGCATGTTGAGGTCGTCCACAAACACGACCACGCGCTGGCCCATGGGCGGGCCAAACACGCCCTTGCGCCGCTTGTCGAGCTTGCCCAGCACAATCTCCTGCGTCTGCTGCGCGGACGTCTGCGCGGAGAAGTTGACCACCAAGGGCTTGAACGTGTCCTTGGGCAGCTGGTGCTGCAGGAAGCCGTTGATGTACACGGACTTGCCCGTGCCCGTGGGGCCGACGAAGACGGCCAGCTTCTGGTGGCGCACGAGCAGGTCCATGAGGTACTGGTAGCGCGCCGTGTCGATGGTGGGTACGGTGATGGTGTTGAACGACGCGTCCTTGGGGAAGGGCGAGGTGTCCACGCGCGAGCTCCAGTGCACCCACTCGCCGGTGGTGCCCTCCTTGTGGAAGAAGTAGTTGTACACGAGCCCTTCCTCCGGGATGGTGGCGGCGAGCGGCTCGTCGGGCGGGCCGCACTTGGTGAGGATGTTGTACTCCGCCATAATTTGGGCGTCCAGGCCCGTGGTCATGAGGCGGCGCATGAGCACGTCAAACTTCTGCCGCCCGTCCGTGTTGGTGCTGCCGCCGAGCGACCACATAAACGCAAAGAAGAAGATGCCGTCGAGCCAGTTGCACACCTGCGCCTCGGACAGCTGCTCAAAGGCCTTGGGGTCCCGGAACTCGTCCATGAGCGCGTCGCACATGTGCATGCACGAGCGCACGAGGTTGATGTCGCCGGCGTAGGAGAGGTGGCGGTAGCCCGCGTGCGCCACAAACTCGAGCGTGGGCGGGACGACACGGTGGAAGTGCTTGGACAGGCGCTCGTGGTGGCTCTCGCTGAGCGTGTCCGGCAGGGTGGCCAGCCAGGACGTGAGCAGGGGCTCCCAGCCAAGGTTCTGCGGCTCCATGTAGATCATGCCGCAGCGGGACACGGTGGCGGGGGAGGCGACCTCCAGGTCCATGGGCTCGAAGATGAGGTTGGTGGTGTCGGCGAGCTGGATAATCTCGCCAGACATGAGGCAGAGCTTCTTGTTGTCGTCGAGGACGGTGTTCATGTTCTCGATCCAGATGGCGTCGACGGGCCCGTCGAAGATGAGCCACTTGCGGTCGGGCGTGGTGGACGTGGCAAAGTGGCGGTAGCTCACGGCGAGCACGCCGTCAGACCACTCGTGCGACACGGGGTCGAAGCTGCCGTAGAGCTGGCCCATGGTGATGGCCTTTGGGTTGATGACGGTGATCTCCACGGCGTTCTCCTCCATGAGTTTCTGCTCGTGCAGGTCGTGCAGGGCGCCGGCCAGCACGCGGTACGCCTCCGTCTTTCCGCCAAACCCTTCGCCCACGATCATAAAGCCGTGGCGCACAATCATCATCTCGTAGATCTGCAGAATCTTCTCGATAAAGGCCGGGTGCGGCTGCAGGTTGCGCTTGGCGCAGTTCTCGTGGATGGCCTTGAGCATGACCTCGTAGTCCGGCTCCGGCAGCTTGATGCCCGGGAAGAGGTCGGAGATGATGCCGCGGAAGAGCGGGAGATCGTGCGACAGGAACTTGGGCAGGTTGACGTCCGTGATGGAGCGCAGCATGAGAATGTCCTCGCTCTGCTCCGGGTACTTGAGCTTGAGGTTGCCTGCGGCGGTGAGCACAGACTTGACGGCGCGCATGCCGTAATCGTAGTGGTACTGCGACGACAGCTGCTCCGAGCACAGGCGGTACGTGGCCACAATCTTCACGGAGAGCGAGCGTGCGTTGCGGAAGCCAACAGAGTACAGCACAATCTCAGCAATGAGGGCGTAGTCTGGCACCATCATGGCCACGGTGCGGAAGAGCGCCTTGAGGTTGTCTGGCAGCTCGGAGCGTCCGGCGTAACCGGGATTCATGGTGATGAACACGGAGCTCGTGGGGATGAGCCGGATCTCCGTGCCCTCAAACACAATCTTGTCCATGCCCGCGTTGATGCCACGCTGGATTGTGAGGATCTGCTGTGCAACGACGGAGAGCACCTCCAGGTCGATGCGGTTGAACTCGTCGAAGCACGACCAGGCGCCAGAGGACGCAAGGCCCTTGAAGAACTTGCCCAGTGCCTTGTAGTCAAGACCATCCGAGCCTATGGGGGGGGGGGGGGTGGAAGGAGAAGGGAAGAGATGGAAGGAGGAGGAAGGAGGCAGGAGGAGGTAAGTCAGCATGATGGCTCAGGCCCTTTGTTGTTGTGCTGGTTTTGTGTGTGTGTGTTTGTGTGTGTGTGTGTGTGTGTGTGTGTGTGTGTGTGTGTGTGTGTGTGTGCGTGTAGGTGTGTGTATGCAAAGAAAGCAACTTACACTACAAGCGTGGGCGGATGTCGTCAGAGGTGGCGGGATACGTCACACGGGGCCAACGCGGGAAGGAGTAAGCGAAACATGGCAGGTGTGGCAGCAGACGGGCAAGCAAGTGCGACCGGTGAGCGAACGCCAGCTGATATACATGCAAAGTGGTGGCAGGACCAACCCAGGAAACACGCACAATTGAAATGCAAGGCACAAGGGCTTACGCTGTTGTTGTTTAAGTTGTTGTTGTTGTTTAAGTTGTTGTTGTTGTTGTTGTTGTTTAAGTTGTTGTTGTTGTTGTTGTTGTTGTTGTTGTTGTTGTTGTTGAAGGAAGACAAAGCCATGGAGAAGATTATGGTGAGTAGGAGCGTAATAAGTTGATTTCAGGAGCAGGAGGATGGAGGGTGAGAGTTCGCAACAGCATCAGCGACACCAAGCACAAGCACAAGCACAAGCACAAGCACAAGCACAAGCACAAGCACAAGCACAAACAACAACAACAACAACAACAACTTAAACAACAATAACAACTTAAACAGCAACTTAAACAACAACAACAACTTAAACAACAACAACAAAAGGAGCCCCTACCCCACGAATCAAGGATGAAACAACGAGTGACTCACTTGAAGACGACGCACTGGACGGCGACGGCTTTTGCGAGATCCTTGACAGTCTCGGTCTTGCCGGTACCGGCGGGGCCTTCGGGCGCACCACCGAGATGGAGCTCCAGCGCACCAAAGAGGGTGCGGTAGCAGCGATCTGTGAGCGGCGTGACGACGAGGCGGCCGGTGTTGCCCAGGTACTCGTAGCCGTAGTTGAGGGTGGAGTTGATCATGCGGGTGACCACTTGCTCCTCCTCAAAGTAGTAGCGCAGCTGGCACAGCCAGGCAAACTCGTCGTCGCGCTGGATGCCGTCCTTGATCAGGCCCGTGAGCACGTCGCGCGAGTGCACGTCAAGCACGATGAGGGCGCTGAGCGTGGTGCGGATGTTCTTGCTGAGCTTGCCGCGCACCAGCTCCACGACGTCGTTGATGTCCTCGTTGCAGCTGTTGAGGTACTTTGTGAGGGCGTCAGGCCCGCCGCGGATGGCCTCGTGCACGCTTGTGGTCCAGTACTTTTGCGTAACGGCGAGGACGACCTGGCCCGGCCAGGACTGGATCCAGTCCGTGCGCTTGGTGTTGGGGTAGGAGGCAATGCCCTCGACCATAATCTTGCGAATGGACGAGCGCATGATGGACTCGAGCTGCAGCAGCCACTTCTCGACCTGGCCGCGCGCCTCCGCCGTGGAGATGACCGTGTCCAGCTCCACCTCCTCGTTCTCGCTCGAGCGCATGTGGGTGATGTCCAGGTCCTCTGTGAAGGTGAGCTTGGCAATGCCCTCGAAGCACTTCTTCAGGTGCGGCTGCACGCGCGTCGGGTCCTTGGTCTCGGACAAGATCTCCAGCATCTCGTCGTTGGAGAGGAAGAAGAAGCGGGAGAAGTAGAGGCGCTTCTGTTCGAGGTAGCGGTTGAGGCCCTTGAGGATCAGCTCCAGCAGGTCGTTGGCCTTGGTCAGCTTCTCAAGCATCTTGTCCAGCTCAATCACCACCAGAACGTGCTTGTCCTTGATGGCCTGCTTCATGAGGTCGCGCCAGGTGCCGTCCACGACCTTGAAGCGGCGGCCTTCCTCCGGCATCTGCGCCATAATGTCTGGGGAGCTGAAGATGGGCTCGAGGTAGAGCCACGTAGCCTGGACCTTGAGCCAGGCGTCGAGGATGTCCTGCAGCTTGATGAGCGTGGCGTTCCACTCGCGCATCTCCTCCTCAAACGGCTTGACAAAAGGCGAGCCGAGCATGGTCTGCGTCTTGACAATCTGGTCGTCAAGCAGCAGCTGGATCTCGTCCACGGAGGAGAGGATGGTGGTGCCGGTGTCGCGGTACTCGACCATGCCAAACTCCATGTCGCTCCACTCCTCCTTCATCTTGCGCAGCGCCTTCTCCAGGGAGAACTCCTTGGTGGCCGCCTCGGAGATGCCCTCAAACTGCTCCAGGTGCGGCTCCAGGTTCATCTCCAGCAGCTTGGACAGCGTCGTGTCCTCGTCCGGCATGAGGTCAAAGCCGACAATCTCGCTGATCTGGTCCCAGTGGCGGTCGCGCAGGCCCGGGTTACACAGGGCCTGGATGAGCGGCATGTGGTCCTTGAACTCGTCGACGGACGTCTTGACGTTGGCGGCGATGCTGCGCGGCGCCTCCTTCTCGGAGAAGGTCTTCTCCAGCTTGTACAGGTTGCGCCAGGTCGTGCCCACGGTGTTCTCCACCTCCTCCGGGTCAATGGCAGAGAAGTCACCCTCCATCCACTGCTCCAGCTGCTCGTTGAAGCCCACAACCGCCTGGTACAGGGTGAGGAACGGCGCGAGCTTGCTGGCGGCCTTGTGGCGCAGCGGGTACTGCGTGTTCTCCCAGTCAAAGGCCTCCTCCTCCTTGTTGATGGCCTCGATGCGGTCCACGGCGTCCTCGAGCTGGGCGTTGAGCGCCTCCGCCTGCTCCTTGTACTGCGCAACGGCGTCCAGGTCGCCCAGGGACTCAAACGCATCCAGCTGCTCAAAGTACTCGTCGAGGTCTGCGTTGAGCTGCTCCCTGCGCTGCAGCAGGGCCGCCTCTGCCTTCTCACGCGATGAGCGGATCAGCGCCTTGTGGTCGTCGATGATCGGCTGCATGCGCGTCGTCCACTGCAGCGTCCGTCCCATCAGCACAATCTCCTCCCTGCAGGTGTGGTAGTGTGAGATTGTTGGTTTTGGGGCCGGGGGGAAGGGGCGACGGTAAGAGAGGGGGATGCACATATAAGTCAACAAGCAAACCGATCAGCAATGGCAAAACGAAGAGATAGAGACAGCCACAGGCACTGAGACGGACTGAGACGGACTGAGACGGACTGAGACAGCAACACAGAGATTGAGAGAGTTCGAGAGAGACAAGGAGCCGGTGCTGAGCCAACAGTTGATGAATCAACCGACTAAAGGCGGGGACATACATGTCGATGGACGCGTGATCGATGAGGTAGTCCATCTTCTTTCTGGAGTCTGCCACGGCGAGCTCAAGCTTTGGCAGGCGCTCCATCTCAACCTTCTCCATAAACTCGCGCAGCTGCATGAGCTCATCGGTGTTCTCGGGCACCTTGGCCGCCTTCTCTGCAATCTCAGAAAACTGCTCGCACAGCTCTTGGTTCGCGACCTGGTGGAGTGAACAAGGGCATGGGCGCACGGGTGTTGAGAGAAACAGAAAGCATGATGAGCGGTGCATATGGCGGTGGGCAGCGGCGCTGCGAGGGCGGCGACAGTGTGTCAAACAGAGACAGCACATGCACAAAAGCGTCTTGATGCGAAAAAAGAAAGGCACAATGGAAGAAACAGACAAAAAAAGAGAGAGAAACAAAGAGGGAACCAAAGAAGGGGGGGCTTGGCGCGCGCACATATCACGTGGCAAATGAAGGGAACACACGCACACCAACACACAAACGCACACACACGCACACCAACACACACACTCACGCGCGCACACACACACACACACGCACGCACACACACACACACACGCACGCACACACACACACACACACACACACACACACACACACACACACACAAACACACACACGACGCGGCAACGCGATGCCTCACCTCTGTCTCCTTTGCAATCTTCTGGAAGATTGTGTCGACGAGGCGGGTGGCGCGGGAGGTGAGCTCGATGTTCGCCGGCTCTGCGCGCACCTCGAAGATCTCAATCATCTTGACGCGCGGGAGAATGTACTGCGTCTCCTCGGCCAGCTTGCGGTAGCGTGCGGCCTCCTTGATGCGCGCCTCAAAGGACGTGTTGGCGGCGAAGAATTCCTGCAGATCGTCCTCCGCCTGCATGGTGATGAGGCGCTCGTACGGCGCGTACGTCTCCAGGTAGCGCTGTGGGGCGCTGGCGTGGTGCTCAAAGTGCTCCTCCACGCGCTGCCGCAACGCCGCAATGAACGACTGGTCAAGGTTGGCGTGCAGGTAGCGCTCCTTGCCGAGCGGCCTGTCCTCGTTCATCGTGTACTCCACGCGGGGCAGGCCGGAGACGCTCTGCACAATCTTGTCCATGGCGCGAAGGACCACCGCGGCCGCCGCCTGCGCACCGGGTACGTACGACAGCTGCGTGTCTGTGAGGGAGAGCTTGAGCACGTAGCCCGGGAAGCGGTGTGTGGCATGCGGCTGGTTGGTCAGCAGGTCGACCAGCTCTGTGAGCGAGTTCATGGCCAGCTGGCGCAGCTGCGCGCTCATGAGGGCATACGCGGCCTCGTACAGGGCCTGCATGGAGTGAGCGCGGAGCATGGCCTTGGCCTTGAGGGCGTCGAGGAGAGCACCCGCCCGCTGGATCCACTCGCGCTGCAGGGAGTGGCGCGCCTCGTCAATCTGCATGGTGATGGTCTTGTCGAGGAGGTTGACGTCGAAGGCGGCGCCCTTCTTGCACAGGTCCTCGGCGCGGATGAGCGACTTGACGCCAAGGTCCGCCCACAGCATGAGCAGGCTGGCCATGCCCGGGCTGCACAGCACCAGGTTGCGCTTCATGTGCTTCCGCGCGGCGTAGAAGCGGTCGGTCCACTCCTTGGGCACGGTGGAGAGCTCCGGGTGCTTTGCAAACGCGGGCCAGGTGGCGAGGTGGCTGGCGTCGGCGGCCCCCTTGGCGCGCTTTGCATCGGGGCCCGCGCTGGACGATGCCGCGGAGGACGCGTCGCCCTGGCCGCTGGAGGAGGAGTCGTGCAGCACAAAGTCGACAATGGACTTCTTCACGCCAAGCACGTAGTCGTCGCGGATCTCCTCTGCGAGCGAGTCGACGAGGCCCGCGCAGCGCTGCTTGAGGGACGCGTCCAGCAGCGCCTTGATGTTGTTGAGCCACGAGTCCTCCATCGGCGTCACGTGCTCTGTGTCAATGCCGTTGTTGATGTAGTAGTAGTAGCGCATGAGCTCCTTCTCCGCGTCGCTGGCGTCGGTGGGCTCGCCGTCATCATCAAGGCCAGGGGTGGCGGCGTCGCCAGACGACTTGCGCTGCGATGCTGCGACGAGCGGGTCTGCAGGCTGGGGCGGGCTCGGCAGGCGGCCGCGTGGGTCCGTGGCAGGATCCAGTGGGGGCAGCTCGCCCCCGCGTCCACGCGTGCGTTGCTGAGAGTCGGCCTGCATGATGATGGACACCAAAGATGCGCGAAACTGGTCGCGGTCCTTGAGGGCGCGCGACACGGCTTGCCGTGTGCTGGGCGCTGGTGCCACGGGCTGCCGCTTGCGCGTGTTGTGTGGGCGGGTGCGTGTGAGCGTCATTGTGCCGACGTCCGACGCGTCGGCAGCGCGTCGCTGCTGCTGCTGCTGCTGCTGGCCGTGTTGTGCATGCTGTGGGGAGTGCAACAGCGAGGTGCCCCCTGGCACGGCCTCGTTGCGCAGGTTCTTGGACGCGGCATCTGTTGGCCAGACGCGCCTCGTTGGTGCTGTGGCTGAGGCCGAGGCTGTGGCTGTGGCGCCAAGGGGCCCCGTTCTCGCGAGGGAGGCTGTGAGATCGAGGGCTCCGCCCGTGCCCGGTGGTGCGCCTTGCAGGCGCCTGGCTGGGGAGGCAAAGTCTGACGACCCGAGCGTGGGCAGTTTGAATGCCGTGGACTGGGAAAACATGGGTCGCTTGCGCTGCCCCGACGATGCTGTTGGGTTTGTTGTCAATCCGGATGCTGTGTCTCGCGGATTCGGGGTCGGCCGTGGATCATCCATGGTGCCGGCTTCCCCTGTTGAAAGTGCGACGTTGCGGTGATAGAGGTGAGGGGGAGGGCGAGGGAGGGCCGAGGGTTGAGTGTGATGTTGTGGTGTGATGTTGCGTTGTGGTGGTGGTGGTGGTGGTGGTGGTGGTGGTGTGTGTGTGTGTGTGTGTGTCTGTCTGTGTGTCTGTCTGTGTGTCTGTGTGTCTGTGTGTCTGTGTGTCTGTGTGTCTGTGTGTGTGTGTGTCTGTGTGTCTGTGTGTGTCTGTGTGTGTGTGTGTCTGTGTCTGTGTGTGTCTCTGTGTCTGTGCGTGTGTCTGTGTCTGTGCGTGTGTGTGTCTGTGTCTGTGTGTGTGTGTGTTGCGCTGTGGTGGTGTGGTTGTGGTGTGGTTATATGTGTGGGAAGCGGTACTTGTCACACAGCACACGGCAGCACAGCGGCCTGGCAGCTCAAACGAAAGGGTGTACATGACAAGCATGGCACTTGATCACTTCAGTCGCACCTGCTGTGTTGTTGTTGTTGCTCTTGTGTGAAGAGCGCAGTCACCGTTGTGTTGCTCCACACAAACACACACACAGCAACACGATAAGAAGACGACGACGGTGATCAGCCTGCGTGTGTGTGCGTGTGTGAGTAAGTGAGAGGGTGTTGGGGGCGGGGTGGAGGTGTCGTTGCGGTCTCTGCAAGCGAGACACGATCCGCGCTGCTCAACGCTGCTGCTCAACGCTGCACACTGCCTCCCTCACCAGAGGATTGTTGTTGGTTTGGTTGGTTGTCTTGGTTGGTTGCTGGGGCTGGCTTGTCGTTTGGTTTGTGCGGGCATCTATGTTTGGTGAAGCAAACCCTTGTGGCTAATGCGCAATTTTCTGCCCAGTCTTACGATCCACCACACAGCCTTGGCAACGGCGACTGATTTCAGTTTTGTGTGTGTATCTGTGTGTGTGTGTGTGTGTGTGTGTGTGTGTGTGTGTGTGTGTGTGTGTGTGTTCTGTTTTGTGTGGATGTGTGGTTGTGTGTGTGTGTGTGTGTGTCCAAAACGAATGAGCACCACCACGACCAAACACACACACACACCCTCTCTCTCTCATCACTCCCTACCATCCCTTTTTCCGCACTCAGACATGGTTTTGAGAAAGGTTCAAGGACGTGAGTGGACACAGGTGACACGGAGCGAAAAAGGAACAAACACACACGTGCGCGCAAGCACGCACGCACGAACACACGATCACACGAACACACGAAGCGAAGAGTCTCGAGGAGCATGAAGAATGTGGCATGAGCCAATGACGTTGGATGCAGCCCAAAAGGAGGGACACGCACGCATCTCGCGCGCACACGCACGCACACAGGTCACAAAAAGCGAATGCTGTCACGCTTGGTGGCCGGGCACAACTGCACGAGCGGACGCGTCAAGAAGGGCAGGTTCACTGGGGCGGCTGTTGTTGTTGCTGGTAGTAAGCAGAGTAGTCCTACACGCAGAAATACAGAAAGAGAGAGCGGGTGAGAGGAGGTGGTGGGGGGGCATACGTGAGCAGCATGTCCACAAAATACGTGAGCAGCATGTCCACAAATGGAAGGGATTGCAGCAAACAACGAGCCACATGCGATGGGCCAAGACAAAACATAACGATGAAACGGAAAGCAAACCAGATATGACAACAAAACATGCATGCATGCAGACTTACGTAGGCCTGCTGCTGTGGATACTGGCCGTAGCCCTGCTGGCCGTAGCCTTGCTGTTGTGGGGCCTGCTGGGCCTGGGGCTGCTGGCCCTGCTGGCCCGGCTGGCCCTGCTGGCCGTACATGCCGTACTGACCGTAGCCCTGCTGCCCATAGCCCTGCTGGCCGTAGCCCTGCTGCCCATAGCCCTGTTGTCCATAGCCCTGCTGGCCGTAGCCTTGCTGGGCCTGCTGCATCATCTGCTGCTGGCGCAGCTGGGCGTACATGCTGCCCATGTTGGCGGCTGCGGTGAGGACCTCCGGCGGGCCCTCGACAAAGTTGCGCGTGTAGTCGCCCGTGAGCTCAGCAATCTTGGTGTTGATGAGGTAGGTGCAGTACGCAATCTGCTGTGGCTGGCCACGGACCACAATCTCGCGCTTGTTCGTGCCAGGGTTGGGGGCCTGAATATGATGCGGATGAATAAGAGTGAGCAAGGCGGAGTCGGTGTGATCCAAGGGTGGGCAGATCAGTGTGTACGTGTGTGTGTGTGTGTGTGTGTGTGTGTGTGTGTGTGTGTGTGTGTGTGTGTGTGTGTGTGTGTGTGTGTGTGTGTGTCAAAGGGAATGCCCATGTACCTTGGCGACGTCCATGTGAGCACCAGAGTTGTCCTGGAGCTCGCGGATGGTGCAACCGCCCTTGCCAATGATCCTGTTGCCAGGGAGAAGACAGAGCAGAAGGTAGGAGAGTGAGCACGACGCACAACTGGCGAAGACAAATACACGTGTGCATGGTGCGTCGACAGCACAAAATGCCACACGGGCGTCAAGGCATACAAACGCAAGCCGCACCACACGGCGTCAAAGCACCACACGGCGTCAAAGCACCACACGGCGTCAAAGCTTGTAGTCAAACACACACACACACAAAGAACACACACACACACACGCACGCACCTGCCAACCATCTCGTCGGGGATGGTGATGATGGTGTCGTTGGCGGAGCGGGTAGGGGCAGGGGGCAGGCTCTCGCCGGAAACCTTCTTGCGAATGAGCTCCTCACACTTCTCAACCTGCGCCGGTGTGCCCGTGACGGTGACCTCGCGCTGGTACTCGCCAGGACGGCACTCCTTCGCAATGTCCATGTGCGCGCCAGAGAGCTCCTGGATCTGTCGGATGGTGGATCCCTGTCGGCCAATCACACGGCCAACGTGGTCGTCGGGGATGTACGCAATCTTGGTGATGGTCTCTGTGGCGGGGGCCGAGGGGTCGCCGCCATCCTCGCGGATCTTCTGCTCAAGCATCTGCTTGCAGTAGCGGACGCTCTCCGGGCTGCCGCGCAGCGTAATCTTGCGCACGGAGGTGCCTGGCTCGCACTCCGCCGGCACGTTCACCTGGCACCCGGAGAGGGCCTCCATCTGGCGGATGTTGGAACCCTCACGGCCAATCAGGCGGCCAACCTGGTGGTCCGCGACGTTGACTGTCTCCAGCACGTGGCCCTCGGCAAGCGGTGCATCGGCCGGGTTGCTGTTGGCTTGCTCCGTGGCTGCTGTGCCGTCAGCGGGGGCGGCGGGCGCGCCCTCAGCAGGCGTGGCAGTGGCGGGAGCTGCAGCTGTGTCGGTGGAGGCCGTCGTGGCTTCGGCTGATGCCTCTTGCGGCGCGGGCTTGTCCTCTGCCGCGGCCGTTGTGGCCGTTGTGGTTGCTGCTGACGTGGTGGCAGTGGGATCAGCCGACTGCTCGTCCGCCGCGGTTGTTGCCGTCGAATCCTGCTCGGCAGGAGCCACAGGTTCGGTTGCATCTTTGTTTGTGGGTTCGGATCAAACAAGGAGATGTGGAGGTTGTTGTTTTGGGGGAACGGGTGGCGCATGATGGTGCGAGTGCAGGAGGAGGAGGAGGAGGAGGCGTGGGCACGACCAGCACCAGCACGGAGCAGTGGGCAGAGCACAGATGCAGCGCCAGCAGACAAGCCAAATGTCCAAATGGGGCGGATGATGTTCGAGCAGCAGCATGCAAACAAACGGGCAGGAAGAGCAAGTCGATCAAAGCGTGCAACGTGTATGTGCGTGCGTGCGTGCGTGCGTGCATGTGCTTTTGTTTGTTTGTTGGTTGGTGTGTGCTCTTGTGTTTGTGCGTGTGTGTGTGTGTGTGTGCATGCATGTATGGATGTATGCATGTATGGATGGATGTATGTGTGTGTGTTTGCTTGTGTGTGTGTGTGTTTGCTTGTGTGTGTGTGTGTGTTTGCTTGTGTGTGTGTGTATGTGTTTGCTTGTGTGTGTGTGTGTGTGTTTGCTTGCTTGTTTGTGTGCATGAGCCTGTTGTGCATGGGATGAGTGGCGACATGCTGGACTTTGGGCTTGTCGAGTGACTGCGTACATACCAGGGGTGGCGGTGGTGGCGGCGGTACCGTTCTGTTGTCAATAAACACAAAGCAATAGTGCGCGAAGAGCAAGGGGAGAACAGTGAGTTATTGGGGGTGTGTGGGTGTGTGTGAGTGCTTTTGTGTGTGTGTGTGTGTGTGTGTGTGTGTGTGTGTGTGTGTGTGTGTGTGTGTGTGTGTGTGTGTGTGTGTGTGTACGTCGTGTGTGTACGGCATGTGTGTGTGTGTACGTCATGCGTGTACGTCGTGTGTGTACATCGTGTGTGTGTGGATTGTGGTGGCTCATCTTGTGATGAACTGACCATGCTGTCGGTGCCTGCGGCTGTCATCGTGGCGGAGAGCAACAGCAATCGCGAGGAACACAGAACATTGATTGGTGTGAGCGACGTGGGAAGTGTGTTGGTAGAATCACGACAAACAAGCACTCACAACCACATACACGCAACGCGGGCACCAAGACACGGCAAACACGCACTGAGACACACAACCACGCGCTCACAACCACAGCCACTGGCCAATATCACACATGGACGAAGAAAACACAGACGCACGCGCGATACACGTTTTGGCAGATATGGCGCGTGTTTCCCTCTCGCTCTTTCTCTCGCTCTCTCTCGCCTTTCTCATCCCTGCCTGCTTTCTCTGCAAGGCACTCACGCTCGGCGTTGTCGTCCTTCACTGCTGGTCGCTTGGTGTCGAGGCCCTCGCTCGTGTCCTCCTGCTTACGCTTCGCTGTCTCACTCATTGTGTCGACAAAGTGAAGGAGGTTGTGTCGGTTGTGTGGTGATTCGTTGACAAACGCGGCGGCACACGCGCAGAAGCAGCGGGCGGGGGAGAGGAGCGGGAGAGGAGAAGAAGAAGGCACAAGAAAGGGCAACAACAGCAGGAGCAAGAAGCAAGAAGCAACAGACGGGAGGCAGAGAGGCAAGCGGGGTGAGAGGCGAAGGCGTGGGAACAAGCAAGGCGCGAACGAACGATTGGCCGATCAAAACTTGGCACATGCGCCACCAACAACGACAAGAGGAGGTTTCGCCAAAGACTCCCACCAATCCTCTTATTCGTCTCAAATCTTCCGCCAACATTCGCCTGTGGGTCTTTGTGGGCGGAACAGAAGGAGGACAACGAACAACAAGTTGAGCGAGCAGAGTGGAGCACCAACACAGCAGCATCAGTGGGCACAGGATCGCACACACCCCACCTTGAGACCTTGCCACCATGTCATGGCTCTTTGGTGGCCGTCGCAAACGTGAGTGGCTATGTGTGTGTGTGTGTGTGCGTGTCTGTCTGTGTGTCTGTGTGTCTGTGTGTCTGTGTGTCTGTGTGTCTGTGTGTCTGTGTGTCTGTGTGTGTGCGTGTGTGTGCGCGTGTGTGTCTGTGTGTGTCTGTGTGTGTCTGTGTGTGTCTGTGTGTCTGCGTGTTTGTGTGTCTGTGTGTCTGTGTGTCTGCCTGTCTGCCCATCTGCCTGTCTGCCCATCTCTCTGTCTGCCTGGTTGTCTGCCTGTCTGCCCGTCTGTCTGCCCGTCCGTCTGTCTGTCTCTGCCGGTGTGGGTGTTCCCACACGTGTGAACTGACCAACACACACTCGCACATGTGCGTCTACCGCTGCACACGGAAGTTTGACTCACCCCCCCCCCCCGCCGCCACAACCTCCTTCCCCCACGTTTCTTCCAATCGCCACTTCCAACGTGCGCCCTTGCTCACCAACGACCCAGAGCTTGAAGCGGAGCTGCGGCTCACACAGCAACGGCTGCAGGAGCGTGAAACCGAGGTTGTGGCTCTGAAAAGCAACTGGACCATTGAATTCGATGAGGTACAGCTGCAAGAGCCTCTGAACCATGGCGCATTTGGAACCGTGTACTTGGCACAATGGGAAAACCTTCAGGTCGCAGTCAAGGTGCAGCACACTGCAGCGCACGAATTCGACCTGACCGAGGAGTTTGAGCAAGAGGTCGCATTCATGCAGCGGATCCGCCACCAAAACATCGTGCGGTTCTTCGGCGCCGGGACCACTGATGTAGGCACCGTCTTTTTGGTGCTGGAGTACTGCCCGCTCGGTTCCGTCGCCGATCTCCTACATCGTCGACAAGATGGCCTGCAAACTGCCCTCTCCGATTTCACAATGGAGCATCCAACCGCCCACAATCACGTGCCGCAGACAACGTGGGCCCTAAAGCTTCAACTCGCCCATGACATGGCAGCAGCACTTGCCTTCCTTCACAGCCTTGACATCCTGCACAGGTGCGCCATGCTAGATTTGGTGCGTGCGTGTGTGTCTGTGTGTCTGTGTGCGTGTGTGTATGTGTGTCTGTGTGTCTGTGTGCGTGTGTGCGTGTGTATGTGCGCATCTGTGTGTGTGTGTGTGTGTGTCTGTGTGCGTGTGTGCGTGTGTATGTGCGCATCTGTGTGTGTGTGTGTGTGTGTGTGTGTGTGTGAAGTGAATCCAACGGCTTTCAAGCCGTGGCATCACGTCTGTGCCGCTTCAAAGACGAAAGAAAACCACTCATGAACCGTGTGCTTGCTTCCATGTCATTCATTGTATCTTCTTGGCAGGGATGCAAAGACAGGGAACTTCCTCGTGTCGAAAGATCTTCGTGCCAAGCTGTGTGACCTCGGCTCGTGTCGCGAACGAGGGGGCATTGCACGACCCCGCGCATCACTTGCACAGGACCCGGCGACGCAGCCGACGGAGCATGATGCGTTGGACCCCATGCTCACGGCTGCTGTGGGCACGCCACTTTACATGCCCCCTGAAGCCATCGATGGTCACTCCTACAATGGCTCTGCTGACGTGTTCTCGCTCGGCGTAATCATGTGGGAGCTTGGTGTGGAGAAAATTCCGGACCTCATTGAGCAAGAACATGGAGGCAACTTTCCGGGACCAATTCTGGCGACAATGGTTCAACTTCTTGGAGAAGGCCACCGTCTCAAGTATCCAGACGACCGCGCGGGTGCGTATCAATCGTGCAGGGTGTACATGTCTGTGTGTGTGTCTCTGTGAATGTTTGCGTGGGTGTGCATGTGGGTATGTGTGTGTGTGTGTGCGTGTGTGTGTGGGGGGGGAGGACCTGTGTCTGTCTCGTGTGTGTGTGTGTGTGTGTGTGTGTGTGTGTGTGTGTGTGTGTGTGTGTGTGTGCCTGTGTCTACCTGCCTGTGTGTGTCTGTGTGCCTGTGTCTGCCTGTCTATCTGTGTGCTTGTGGTTGTCTGAGTTGCTTGTTGATGAGTGTGGTTCTGGTCTGAAAACAAACCAGTGCAACCGATTGCAATGCGTGAGCTCAAGCAGCGCCGGACCGTTTGACACCGCAGATATTCCATCGTGGTACCGAGACCTGTCGTACAAGTGCATGGCCAACGATCCTGATGAACGCCCAACCGCGAAGAAACTCGAGCATATCTTCAACACCCGTCTCTCCGAGGTGTCTGTGTGTGTGTGTGCGTGCGTCTGTGCGTCTGTGTCTGTGTCTGTAACTGTGTCTGCAGCTCTATGTGTGTGTGTGTGTGCGCGCGCGTCTGTGTCTGTGTCTGTGCCGATGTAGGTGTTTGTGGCGGCGCGTTTTGGTGTCAGGAAAATCCGTGCGGTGACACCCCCCCCCACTGCACTCACTCCTACGTGCGAATGCCCTCCTGCTGCATGGGCGACTGTGCATGTTCCAGGCCTTGGCTGCTGGTGCGCTGCTGTCCACCGTCGCTGGCAGCACCGGGGCGAGCAATGATCCAGCCGCGCAATCCCGCGCCACAGCCGACACGAGAGAGGAAGAAGCGGAGGAGAGCCGCCAAGAAGAAGAGCAACGCCAGCAACAGCGACGTGCATTTGTTCACGCTGCGCTGCAGAATGCGCTCGACGAAGGCGCGAGCGATCTTCTGCGGCGAAGCAAGTTGATGCTCGTCGGGGAGGGCCGGGCCGGCAAGACGAGCACCCTACGGTCCTTGCTGTCGAAGCCATTTGAGCAGCACCAGGAATCCACCGCTGGGTCCGAGTCGACAGACATGCGCGTTACCGTCGACAGTCGTGACGTCTGTGGCTGGCAGGTCCGGGAGCAACTGTGTGTGAACTTGTGTGCCTGTGTGTGTGCGTGTCTGTCTGTGTGTCTGTGTGTCTGTGTGTCTGTGTGTCTGTGTCTGTCTGTCTGTCTGTGCCTGTGTGCGTGTGTGTTTGTGTGTTGTGTTGCGTGTGCGTGTGTCTGTCTGCCAGCCTGTCTGTCTGTCTGCCTGTCTGTCTGCCTGTCTGTCTGCCTGCCTGCGCCTATGTGTGTGTGTGTGTTCGAAGGTGGCACCTGTACGGGTGCATCGTTGGTATTTCCCGTCATGTCTTTTACGCCTCGGCGTCCCTTGTCTGTGGTTCGCAGGAGGGCAAGGAAGAAGCAAGGGAGCTGCACCGGTGCATGCAGGATGTGGCTAGGGCGCGGCTCAAGGACGCACACGCTCGCATGACGGCAACAAACGGTCAACATGAGCAACAGCAACACGACAGCAGCGGCTCCAACACCAACAGCGAAGGAGATGGTGATGTCAATGACAAGGAGGATCGCCAGCGCCGCGCACTCCACACAAACGTACAGCCCGCCCCCAAAGACAATTGCAACGCATCCTCCTCATCCTCCTCCTCCTCCACGCTTCTGCAGGCCCCTCGAGCACCTGCAACCACGCCGACGACGACAACAGCCACGCAAGACAAGACAGAAAGTGCGTCGACAACAGCACAGGGCGAGGGTGCACTTACACAACCAGCAGAGGCGAAGGCTATTGCGGGCGCCCCAGGCAGTGATGGTCTTGAACGCGCCATCACAGACCTCAACCTGGACGTCACATTTGGTGGTGATGGTGAGAGTGACGGTGATGGTGAGAGTGATGCCCACAACAACCAGCAGCACGTCACATTCAAGGTGTTTGACCTTGGCGGCCAGCCTCAGTTCTACGTGTTTCACCCCATGTTCCTGACAAAGTAAGCACGCAGTCATGCCATGATTGTTCAGGTGGCAATCGCAGGCACCCATGTACAATTCATGCTGTCGTTTCATAGCCGCGCTGCTTGTCCAATCACCTGCCGCTCGGCTCATTTGCCATCGCTTCAGACACACACCACCAAACGCGCCACACTTGCGACAGACACTTCCTCACATGCTGCCTCACTGCCTGCTTCACGGTTTGCTGGTGACAGGCACGCAATGTACCTGGTGGTGTTTTCCATGAGACAGGCGCTGCAAGATGACGTTCAGCAGCAAGCGCAGGCGTGGGCCTTCCTCGACCACTGGCTCAGCTCCGTGTACTTGCACGCCAAAGGTGCGCCCATCTTCATGATCGGCACCCACGCGGACGTCGTCACCAGCAGCGACGACCACGCGCGCATCTCGGAAACCATTGTGGAGCGATTCCACACCCACCCAGCTTTCCCCCTCCTCGTTGTCAACACCAAGCACAGCCTCTACTTCTGGCCCGTCGACAACACGCGCTCAAGTGCAGACCCGATGGTCCAGGACCTGCGCACCTCCATCTCTCTCGAGGCCCAGCAGCAGCCACATGTGCAGCAGCGCGTGCCTCTGGCGTGGCTCGCCCTCTACGACCATCTCGTCACCGCCACCCGCAAACGCGCTCCAACACCAGACACAGCGAGCCGACATGATGAGGAAGGCCAGCCAATCACCACACCTCCGGCATCTTCATCACCCCCTTCGTCAGCAGCCGCAGCGTCATCGGGCAGAGTGTTTGTAATGCTGGAGGATGCTGAGGCTGCAGGCAAGCGCTTCGGCCTGGACGCTGCGCAAACACGTGCATGTCTGGCATTCTGGCACAACTACAGCATGCTGCTGTTCTATGACACAGTACCAGGCATGGACACGGTGGTGGTCACTGATCCCCAGTGGCTGGTGGACATCATGTGCCGCGTGATTCGCAGCTTCAAACTGCATGGTGTTATGCAGGACCGGCGCGCACGGCGCCTCGCGCGCGAATGGGCCGAGATGACCCGCAGCGGTATTCTCCACCATCGGCTCCTGCGCGTACTGTGGGATGATGTGCCCCAGAGCATCATCGATGCACTGCTGAACCTCATGTCCCGCATGGGCTTGTGCATCTCGTACAAGACAGGCTCGCAATACCACGACGACGACAACGACAACGACAACGACAACGACGACAATGGCAGCGCCAGCGGCAGCGGCAGCGGCAGCGGCAACAGCCATGAGGAGGATGCGCTGGGCCGCACCCATGACGAACGTCCCCCAACATACGATTACACGCAGCAACGTCACCGCCCACGTGCTGCGTCGCACGGTGGTGCAGGACTGGGCGTCGGCGACAACAACGACACCTGGAGCTGCCGCCATCACAGCGACACCTTTCTTGTGCCCGCCTTGCTGCCGGCAACCCTGAACACACGCAGACCGCTGGCCGAGCACATGCTCAGTGCAGTCGTTGCTGGAGATGAACACGCAGTGGCGAAGCGGTGTCACCAAGCAGACGATCAAGCTAACAGCGAGCGCGCGTCCATAACCTCAACGCGAGGTGTGCTCCAACTGCCGACCGAAGGCGACTGGGCACTGGTCTGCTTCACTTTGAGGTCACTAAAGTGTCAACCAACATACAGTGCGCGCGAGCTTCACACGTGCTCCTTCCTGCCAGAAGGCCTCTTCATCCGCGTGGTTGCTCACATTGTTGCAGGGGCGCATCTGGCTGCCGGCAACCACACCCGTGGCGCGGCGCTGCCCGATCTCAGCCGAACACACGCGCGCGTGCCATTCCGTGACCGCCGTCTTGAATTGCGGCTCTTCCCGTCCATTGGCGCCATCGGTGTCCGCGTCAAGGCCGACGGGCACGAATGTGCTCGTCCCATGCTCCGGCTGGTTGAGGGTGCGGTGCACCGCGTACTGGCACAGCACTACCGCCAGCTCCGCAGTCACACGCTGGTGCCCCTGAGAGACTGTAGCGCCTTCCTTCGCCTCGACGAAGTCACGACCCATTATCGCGAACGTCGAGCAATGTGGGCTGAACAAGTCCGCTTGGAGATTGCCGACTTGGAGAGGCACTTTGCCCGCTGGCTCCCATCCCTCGGCCTGCAAACCCAATATCACGTCTTTCTCAGCTACAGGTACGCCACTTTCTAGCTTTGTTGTTGTTGTTGTTGTTGTTGTTGTTGTTGTTGTTGTTGTTGTTGTTGTTGTTGTTGTTGTTGTTGTTGTTGTTGTTGTTGTTGTTGTTGTTGTTGTTGTTGTTGTTGTTGTTGTGTGACTGGTCTTGCATACAACCCAAATTACACGTGCGTGTTCCTTCACATGCGCGCGCACGTCTTGCTCAACTCATTTTCTGTTCAACGCCTGCTCAACAGACAATCTGCCAACAGTGCATTTGTGATGAACATTCGTGCCCGGCTTGAGGAGCGCGGCCTGTCCACGTTCCTGGACGCCAACAACCTCGAAATTGGGGTCAACTTCAAGATGGCGTTTATGGAGGCCATCAGCCGGAGCGTTGTGGCCTGCCCGATTGTGTCTGCGGCTGCGTTGGAGCGCATGCGCCGCCTTGGCGAGCAGGACGCTTGTGATAACGTGCTTTTGGAGTGGATGACCATGATCTCCCTCATCCGCCACGCCCACCACGCACGCAGCACAGACTCACAAGCCCGTGGGCACCGCACCAGCAGCAGTGTGGGCCGCACCATGAGTCGTGGCGAGCAAATGACAGAGTCTACAACGTGCACCGGCAGCCACAGCGGTGAAGGAGAGACGAAGCATGTGCTCCTTTGCAGGGTTGCTCCGCTGTTGCTCGGGAGGGTGTGGGATGATGATCAAGTGACCGCTTGCCTCCCCGAGTCAGACACGTTCCAAGACCTGTTTGATCTCTGCCAACAACTACCACACGTCGTCAGTCATGCAACCATGACTCAACTCGAGCACTTCTTTGTCAGAGTCCTTGGGCTTCCGCCTCCGCCACCTCTCACCGTGCATGAGACTGTGGCCTCCCTCTTGGATCATGGTGCAATCTTTTGCTTCGATGATCAAGGGCATGACGCCTCTGCAATTGAAAGTGGGGAAGCATCACGCAGTATTCTGGAGCGACCCGCCAAGTGGGATGCCCTGCACGAACACGCAGAGCATATTCGGCGCCTAGTCGAGCATGTCCGCCCATTGAATCAACAACAACAACAACAACAACAACAACAACAACAACAACAACAACAACAACAACAACAACAACAACAACAGCAGCAGCAGCAGCAGCAGCAGCAGCAGCAACCTGCGATTTCTTGTGGCTTTGACATTTCAGAGGTGAGGTCCAAATGCCCAGCCGTAGCACCCACCGTGTGCTTGCTTTTGTGTTGGTTCGCTGGGTCAATATGCTCCTGTGTGGACCTAACACCTTTTTCTTGTTGCTTTTGTGATTGCATACGCAGATGGACGGAGAGCTTGTGGTGTGGCTCAGGCAATGCCAGCTTCTCCGAAAAGTTGGCCCAGCGCTCGATGCTCTCGGGGTGTCGACACTGGCAGATCTGCATTATGGGATCAAAGAAGAGCTGATAACGCTGGAGACGCTGCAAGCGCACGGCGCGAAGTTAATTCCGGCTTCACGACTGCTGAAGGCGGCCAAGGACTGGGTGCAACAGCTTGGGGAGCAAGTTCCCCACGTTTCCGACATTATGTTCATGTTCTGACATGCCCCTCTTGCGTGAGCGCACACACTCACAGCCACGCACACTACCACACACACACACACACACACACACACACACACCACACACACACACACACACACACACACACACACACACACACACCACATCATATCACGTCACATCACAAGGACGCAGTTCTTTCTCTTCTGACGTGATATGTTGCGTGCCACCTCTTGTCGTTTCTCACGCACACTTCCCTGTTTCCTCCTTTCCCACCTGTCTGTGGCGCGGCCTTCTGCTTGTGTGCGCATTCTTCTTGTTTGTGTGTTGTTGCACCATCCGTGACCAACAGACAGCAACAGCAGCGTTGAGCTTGCACCACCCTGGCACCACTCGCAACCTGTCACTTGTACCCGTTGCATGCATACACATTTACTGAACTTCTTCCTTTCACCAGCCAGCCAGAGCTCATTCGTGCACACGCACCGGCAAGCAAGTCCAACACGAACTGCCAAACAAACAAACAAACAAACAAACAACAGCAGCAGCCGCCGCCTTGCTTGTCTTGTGTCCACCGTGAGCCCGGCCAACGAGACGCCCGCTCCGTGTGATGGCGCTCTCCACAGCACAGGAAGCGGAAAGCAGGCCCTGCAACAGATGCAACAGGAGAGAGAACATGCATTGCGTGCATGTGCCAACGAGTTGATCAACATGACAGACAATCCCATGGGGCATGAGTGCAAACACGCAATGTCAACAAAGACAAAAGAAACACAATGCTAACATGCACACAATGCTAACATGCACACAATGCTAACATGCACATACACACACGTGTGGAGAGTGAAAAGAGGGACAACAAAGAGGTGGTGTGTGCAGACAGCCAGCGTGCTCAAAGATTGGTTGTGTTCTTCCCAAACCCAAGAGAGTGTGTGGTGGAAAACTAACGCACACCCTCTCTCAGCCTCACTGGAGGACGAGAAGAACACAAACACGCAGGACTGCAAGCACGGAAACACGATGGTTTTTGATCTCGCAAGCTTTGGACACTCGCCGCCACACGTAAACGTTCAAGGCGGAGAGCATGGCATACTCGCTTTGGGTCCAACACAGTGGGAGAGGGGGAAAGTGGACAAGAAAGGACGCGAAATGACAAAAGGGGGAAGGGGGAGGGAGAAAGCGTGGCAGATGGGGAAAGGCAAAGAGGAAGGTAACACAGAGCCGAGCTGGGTACAAACAGTCAAACACACAAACACAACCACACCCACAAACACAACCACACGCACACTTACCATCCATGGACATGGTGAGCTTGATTCGCTGCATATGAGACGCTGGCCGCTGGTCAGCAGTCAAGATGCCCCTGTCCCAGTTCAGCCATCATATCACGCCTGCATGGTAACTGTTGCCAATTCAACACGCACACACACAAATACACATTCACACACACATACACACACAAATACACATTCACACACACACACATGCGCGCACACACAATATACACACATGCACACATACAATACACATACAAACATATCAAGGAAGGGTGAGTGACACGCGGAGGAACAACACGCAAACACCAACCACATCAAAACAACACGACACATGATTGCCACGTGGTAGGGGATGTATGCATGCAGCCAACGCGCAAGCGCTCTTGTTGGCACGAGAGCGGATGTGTGTGCATGCGCAACACACGCCACCACCACAAGAGCAAAGGCGAGACCACAAGCAACAAGAGGAATTGGTGTTGCAAGCTTTGGACGCTTGCCGCCACACGAGAACGTTGAAGGCGGAAAGCAATTTGACACACTTGCATGAGAAAAGGTGAAAGAAGGGAAAAGGGAGGGCAAATGTGGAAGAGGACACGGGAGAACAAATCATGTGCTGGCAAGTAGAAGAGAAAAGGAAGCAGCAAAGCTGCCATGCGTGCACGCATGCACATATGCACATGCAAGTACACACACACACGCGCACGCACACGCACACGCACACGCACGCACAAGCACACGCAAGCGTACCTCGTTCGTGATGGTACGTCGAGCAGCGTCGCTGTCGCCGCGGCATGCCATCATGGGTGATCCTGGCCGTCATGGCAGCCGTGCTTGATCGCTTCATCCACTGCACATGCTGTCTGTTGCTGTGAGCGAAAAAAAAATGGGCGAAGAACACACGTGCACAGAAAGGAAAGGAAAATCAGGGGAAGAAAAATGCTGGGGCTATTTTTAGTAGTTTGTACTGTTTGTAGACAGCAGTCGAATTTTTGTTGGCACAAAAAGCCGCCACAGAGACACAGACACAGAGACACAGAGAGAGTCAGAGAGAGACAGAGAGAGAGAGAGACAGAGAGACAGAGAGACAGAGAGACAGAGAGACAGAGAGACAGAGAGAGAGAGGAGAGACAGACCGACACAGACGACACAGACGACACACGAAGACGAGACAAGAGGCAGTGTGAAGAGCACGATCAGGTGCAGTCGGTGATGGGGAGGCAACGTCCATGTCCGTGCCCTTCGTGGCATCCGTGGTCTGATTGTTGCAAGTTCATGGTGGTGGTGCTGTTGTTGGAGACTTGTGTGTGTGTGTGTGTGCTGTGTGTGCTGTGTGTGCTGTGTAGGAGATTGTCTTGGCAGGAGAGAGTTGTGTGTGTTTACTTGAGTTGTGAAGCAAACAAGGATGTAGGATGAAAGAACACTCCAACAGAAAGAAACAGAGCACAAGACAAAAATTTGTCGACAACGCAAAGTGGTGACGTGGCAGTGTTTGTTGAGAGTTGTGTGGTTATATGGTGTGTTATGCAAGAGCATGTAACATCGAGCAACCACACAAGCTAAACACTGCACGTGCAACAGGTTGGAGGGAAATCACGTGAACATTCCAGAACACAAGAGAGGTGAATGTAAATTTGTGGTGTCGTAAAGAAGGGAGGTCAATGATGACTCAGCAGACAGGACTTGCCTGTCAACACTCCCCCGCATTGACCTACCTCTCTGTTGCGTTGATGTTCTGAAACGTGATGATGATGATGATGATGATGATGTCATGCATGTAGGAGTGGCATGGGCAGAGGTAGGTGAGATGTGAGTAAGGACGTGTGTTGTGGAACACGTTTAAAAAATGGTTGGTGCCTGTGGTGCGCAGCCTGTTGTGGAAGGCTGGCCCGAGTGAAGGCGTGTCCTGTGGTGCGCGGCCGCTCAGAGGTCCTGACGCGGAGTCGAAGGACGTGGCGACCGGCCCGAATGAGGACGGGCCCGTGGCTGGCAGCCTGGCAGAGGACGCTGGTCGAACAGCATCGTGCAGAACTGAGCCGTCTTGGGCCGAGGGAGGATCTTCGTGAGGAGATCTGCGATCATGTGCTCCGTGGCGAGGTAGCTCAGCACAATCCTCTTGGTGTCGACGCACTCGCGGATGTAGTGGTATTTGACGAGGATGTGCCGCATGCGCGAGGCGGCGTGTTCGGCAACGCGCTGCGCCGGCTGGTTGTCCGTGTGGACGAGCGTGGGCTCGCACAGGACGGCGCCGGTGAGCTCCTCCTGGAGTTGGCGAAGGAACATGAGTTCCTGTGCGGTGGCTGCGAGAGCCATGTACTCCGCGTCGGCGGAGGCTGTGGCCACGGTGGCCTGCAGCTTGGAGTTCCAGGACACGGGGCCCGTGGAACA